CAGGGGGAGGTGGGATTTCAAGATGAAGAGATGGAAGTCCCTTTCTCTGCTACCCAGGATGCCTTCTTTCACATTTTGCCTTAATTTGGTAATTAATTCTCTGTCTTTTGTTTTCTTTCTCCAATGCATCAATGTCACTCAACAAGTCAGCAGATTCCATATAATTCAATATAATGGCTATTTCTCTGAATCCTCTTAACTGCTTGAGATATTACACTTGCACATGCATTCCTTTCTATTATCACCTGTGAAAATTTTTAAAATTGTACTGCTACAGCATGCCAGGAAAAACTTACTACCAGTATTTTGCCAACTACCAATAACAGAATCTCATAGCCTTTTCCAAAATGGAGTCTATTCCCTAGGACTAATTCCAGTACCTCCTGTCTCAGGTAAGTTTCTGGGGGAAATTGACAATGAGACCGAGATTTGTTTGTAGGTAATTTACAGGGGTATGTTCAAAAGAACAACACTTGTGAGGGAAGCAGGAGATTAGTAGAGAAACTGAACTGTGATACAGTTCCAACAAAGGACTCAGCTGATCCCATGGTCTTTCAGAGTTGCCCAAAATTGAAACAGGTGGCCTGTTGTATACCTACATTATCCCATCAATGTGGGCTGCCCCCAGAAAGCATTACCTTAGGAGAGTCAGTTCCCTTCAGACAAGGCCAATTCCCCAGAAGGGGAAATGAGTGCCTCTGTCCTGATAAGGTGTGGCAGTTCTGGGGAGCACAACACAGCACCCATTACAACAAATTTATTTGTATCTCCATTGCTGTCACCTATTCTATCAAGCTGTATAATTTTCAAAAATTTAGCTTCATTTTTTCTATTATTTTCCTTACTATCTTTACAATAGTCTCTTCTCTCTTGTATTCCTTCCAATTTAAGTTTACTTTGTTGCCATAATACTTCCTGGGATCTGCTTTCTCTAGACTCTTCCTTCATCCACTGCTATCTGAACTTTTCCTTCCCCTTACCCACAATGTTTCTGCCCTGTTGAATTTGATTTCTGACACTAGTGGTTTTCATTTTATATGTGGGTTTGTTCTTCTGGAGGAAACTATATGCTAGATAGTTCTGAAGTCCTCAAGGGCTTAGTTCACCTGAGCACTTTTTGATCTCTTGCTGATTCTGTGCATTTTTTTCCACTCACCTGTAATTCAGAGCCTGTAATGACTTCTTTCAATGTTTCAGTTGCTCACAAACCTATTTTCTCAGTTTGATCAAGAAATAATGATGTCCCAGATGAGACTGGTAACAGTGAAGATGAAGAGAATTGGACATTACAAGAGATATTTTGGTGATATGATCAAGGGGAATTGCTTATGGTCTAATGCAGGAGTGAAGAGGTGCTCAAAAATGTTTTTTGGCTTGAGCAACTGAATGAAGGTTTTATAGAAATGGGGGAAACTGGGAGATGAATGATTGGTAATGGCAGAAGCAGGCACTCTATTTGGATAAATTAAGTTTGAAGTACCTGTTAGATAGCTAAGTGGGTATATCAAAGAAGTAAGTCTTTGAACTGAGAGGAAAAGGTCTGCTTAGATGTCATTTCCTTTGGGAAGCCTTTCCTGAATACCCACTTACCATCCCATTAAGCTTATTACCCTTGCTACCCACAGCATCCTTCATCACTCCTATTGTAGCTTTTATCAAATTTATATTGCAGTTTCCTATTTATTGGTCCATTTTCTCTGTTAGAATGTGAGCTGTTTGTGGAACAGAACTTATGTTCTTCATTTTTTTCTCAGATTCCTTCCTGGCTCAGTGCTAACAGTCACCTCTTATTATTTGTTCAATGCATGCATATAAACCAAGCAGCCAATTCCATTTTTCTCCATAGCTCCAATTATTGAAAATTATTTTCTGAATTCAGCCAAAATTTGCTTCCCTCTACCTTCTATTCAAATGAGGATATACCTATGAAGCTAAGTGCTATTAATTTACTTGTCTGAATACCGACTTTGATAACTTGCCTTAGATCTATGTGATTTTATATATATAAGCCTATTAGTCTTTCAAAACAAGCATGTAATAAAAATCCCAACATTGTTTTCACATGTAGTATCTTTTTTTGCCCCTCCTACCACGTAATATCTTAAAAACTATGTCTCCTCAAACATGTTTTCGTATTGCCTTCCATAGCCAAATGTGGATTTAATATTTACGCTCTTAAATTCATCTTGCTAGATTCAGTACTCAACTCCAGAAGTGGAGATCATTTTGGATCCCTGCATATATATTTAAACATCTTGACATACTCTGACTTTCAAGTGCTCAGAGGCAGAAGTTGGAAGCAAAGCAATTGTGCTTAAGTTGGATCCAAGTCCTTGTCCCCAGATTCAAGCAGAAAATAATACTTTCTGGTTAACAGAAAATTTATTTTATGGTGGGGTTAAGATAAAGCCCATTTTTGGCAAAAAAAAAAGGTTTTGTCCTAAAAATTTTTTAAACCATTTACTAGAGGTCACTGATAACTTCTCCAAGAATGCAGTCAACACCACACCCTTATCCCTCCCCCAACTTGCCACACCACCAATTTAAATGATTTACCCAGTATTGACTAAAATTTTAATTTTTGATGTGTGCAGCTAATTTTAATAAATAATTCATCTATTTATTTTGGAAAGATCATAGTAATTTGGTATCTTAGTGAATATTCTTACGATATATAGTTTGAATTCCCACCCTCCAGCTTTAAACGCAAAATGGACTTCTGCAAAAGAATTTACCAATTCTAAAAATGCTTACAATTCAATTGAACTCATCTTGTACTTCCTGTGGAAAAAATGCTACCTTTTTTTTACATGTTCAGCAAAGAGAATTTACCATTTTTGTGGCCAATTAACACTCTATTGGCTCTACTCTGGTTCTTCTTTCCCCTCTCCTTTCACCAGTACACCAGATGGGTTTTTTAAAAAGAGGGGAAGTGATATTGTAACACCAATAATGTTATACCAACAGTATTCTGGAAGAATAGTTAATTTGAGGACCATCGAACTCCCCTTTGGACTATTCATTCAACCAGGTATGAGTCCAACAATCATATTATGCTTCAGTTAATATTTACCATTTTATTCAAATCTCAAGAAAAAACAACCATTAAATGCCTTGCCTAAGTGCAGCTAAATCACCACCTAAATTTATTTGCTTTTTGATAGGATTAACACATCAAGGGAATACTATACCCTATTTTTCCTATTCCTGATGACTCCATGTTTGGATTTTGATGGTATTTCTACAAGGTCACACAGCAACTTGATGGTACAACTGAGACCAGAATCCTGGGATTTAGATTCCCAGGCTACGACTCTTTATACTATACCATGATGATGCTCAAATGCTCACAGGAGGTGTTTATCATAAAACATTAAAAAAAAGGAGCACCAGAGTAAAAAACATAATCAAGATGAAACAAGTTAAAGGTAATGCCCAGGCTTCCCTAGCAGTACAGTGGTTAAGAATCTGCCTGCCAATTCAGGGGACACGGGTTCGAGCCCTGGTCCGGGAAGATCCCACATGCTGTGGAGCGACTAAGCCCATGCGCCACAACTACTGAGCCTGCACTCTAGAGCCCATGAGCCACAACTACTGAGCCCACATGCCACAACTACTGAAGCCCAGTAGCTTAGAGCCTGTGCTCCGCAACAAGAGAGGCCACCGCAAGGAGAAGCCTGCGCACTGCAACAAAGAGTAGCCCCCGCTCACCACAACTAGAGAAAGCCACACGCAGCAACGAAGACCCAATGCAGTCAAAAATAAATAATAAATAATTTTTAAATAAATAAATAAATAAAGGTAATGCCCCCTCCTCACAGTCCTCTCCCACTTATAAATTCTTCCTTTTTCAGTTTCAAGTATTTAGCTGGTCATATTTTTCTAACTTAAAACTGAGTTCAACTCTGAATATCAGCTTTTCCTAAGCTAGATGTAGGATAAATGAAACTATTAAAACTTTATAGTGTGATCTCCCCAGAGGTGCAAACTGTTTAATTATTTCCCCTCTCACTCCCAAAGTAAGATAATATCCAGCTGGGAAATGATCATTTACATAAAACAATACGTAGAAATTAAAACACTTTAATATAATATAAACATTTCCAGAATATAGACTGATTTTTATCAGTACTTTTTTAGAGCTCTTTAAAACCATATATCATCTTAGTTTACTATAGACTGTTTCATTTTCCACTTTCAGAAATAGAAAATACAAAAATACGCTGCAAATTAGATTTAACAAACAAACAAAAAATCAGTCTAAATCGCTTCACACGTTTTCCTTGGAGAAAACCAAGAAACATAAACAAACACACAATAACAACAATAAAATACCACCAACACTAACACAAACCCAAACAAGGGATGGATTCTGTAATGCCTGGTAATTCATTTAAAATAAATTATCTCCCACAGGTAAGTAATTCACTATCACAGCAATTTGAAGAATAGAAGCAGAGACAGCCTCATTAAGGGAAATTACTTTATATGCAGGAAACATGTAATTTTTCTTTCACTTTAATAAATGAGGAAAAATAACTTGAGGAAAAGGCATATTGAATACTCTTACTTCACTTGGCTTTTGTTAGCAGTTAAAGTAACTGTCCACTTAGGAAAATTCAATAACATGAATTTAACAAAACCAAACTCTTCAACTTATTTCTTCAATTCAACCTAAGTGAACAAAACTGAAAAGTTCAAAATCCAAGAGAAGACTCATCCTAAAGCACTGACACTTTTGTCTTTTCTTCAACAGGCTTCCTTTTCTCTTATGTTCTTATTGTGTTCTTAGGTTCTTCTTAGGTTCTTCTTTCTCAGAGACTAGGTTTAGGCTTGTCTTTTCTTTCAATTCAATTTCAATTTTTACACACAAAAAACTAAGCTTTCCTGAACTGACACTGACTGTATTCACCTCTCCTTTTCTTCATTGGATGTTCCTGACTTTGTCTAAATTCCCCTATTCTTAACTGATTTCTCATTGGGTAAACAAAGCTAAAAGTTCAAAATCCAAGAATAGACTCATCCCAAAGCATTTCCTCTTCCGTCTTTTCTTCAACAGATTTCTTTTTCTCTTTCTTGTGCTTATGTTCTTCCTTCTCAGAGGGAACACCATGGCTTTTTTTCTTTTTTCGATGCTTAAGCTTTCCTGAACTGACTTTATCTCCCTCTCTTTTCCTTTTCTGGATGCTCTTGTCCTTGTCTAGATCTGTATCCCCATAACTCTTTTTCCTTTTATGCTTCGACTGCTCCTTCTCTGGCTTTTCTTCACCTTCCTCCAGGTGCCTTCTCTTCTGATGTTTCCGTGTATGACTTGCTTCATGGTCACTGGTATTGTTTTCTGAGGAGAGGTACTTGTAAACTTCAGATTCTACACTGTATGGGCCAGAATTATTTTCCTGTTGACTAAGGCTCAGGGGTACTGGTTTTTCTGGCAAATAGTCTCTGGTGGGTTGACAGTAGGTCCTAGAGTCTAATCTCTGTTTGTTGTCATGAGTTGGTAAGCAATGAGGTAACTGGTTTTCTGCTGCCTGTGAAATACCATATGATACTGGGTAATTCTGGAAAGTCTCAAATGGGAGTCTCTGCTCAAACATTCTATGTCTGGGTCTGGAATCAACCATTTCTCTGTATTTATGGGTTTCCACAGAGCTCTCACTTCTATTTCTGAAACAAGTCTTTGGCTCTAGTCCTCTGGCTTTCTGCACTTTGATATAATCCTCAAGTTCATCTTGGAAAGAGTCATATGACCTCTTTGAATGAGCTGGTGACAAGTGATGTAATTGGCTTCCCACTGGTGAAGTACCGTATGGTTGCTGGGAGTTCTGAGAAGTCTCAAATGAAAATCTTTGCTCACACATTCTTGGTCTGGGTCCAGAATCAACTCCTCTGTACCCATGGGTTTCCACAGAGCTCTTGCTTATCTTTCTGAAACAAGTCTTTGGATCTAGTCCTCTGGCTTTCTGCACTTTGATATAATCTTCCAGTTCATCTTGGAAAGAGTCATATGTGTTCTTTGAGTGAGCTGGTAAGCAATGAGGTAACTGGTTTTCCACTGTTTGTGAAATATTGTATGATCTTGGGTATGTCCGGAAAGTCTCACATGGGAGTATTTGTTCAAACATTCTATATTTGGATCTGGAATCAACTGCTCCTCTGTACCTGCAGGCTTCCAAAGAAGTCTCTTCCATCTTTCTGAAATAAGTCTTTGGTTCTGGTCCTCTGGTTTTCTGTACTTTGATGTAATCTGTACTTTCATCTTGGTAAGAGTCTGGTGGCTTCTTTGGATTCTTCACTAGATTGGTAACAATGGATTCTCTGCAAACAAGACAGTAGAAAGTTCTTGTTACTAGATTATTTTATTTGGAATGTTTGCTTTGCTTTCAAAAATATTAGTTTGAAAAAACAAATACAACAGAGGCCCAAACGAAATTTTAAAACCTACCTCAATATAAAAGCTAAAAATTGTGACTTTTTGTAAGTCAAAGAGAAGCAGCAGGGATAGTCAGATATCTCCTAGGCACCTCACAATGTTTTACACATAAAAAAATTTTCAGGCCTGGGATGAAGGGAAATATGGGTACAAAGAAGCAGACATATTTTACACTGCTGTAGTACTTAAAAATATAAGGCATATTGGGATGTGTGGGAAAGGACCAATAATATTTAATGCCCTAAAGATGGTCTGATCTGAATGTCACATTGCTTTAAAAATTTTTGATTATTATTTCCCTGTACAGATCTATAAATGTGACATCTATTTATTCTGGAACCCTGAGATTTTAAAAAAGAGTCTAAATGAAGGTTAATTTGGTGAGTGAGACAACTTAGCTACTTATTATTCAGACTCAATAATATAAATATTTTCCACTAAAATAATGTAACCGAAATAGTATGCTTTGATTTTAAAAGCAACAAAAAAAAATACAATAGTTAAGTGCCCCACTGTCCCACTACCTGACTTATCCGATCCCCAATTGTCCACTCAATCCTCTCCTCCTTAAAATAACAAAACAGATTGGAATAAATGTGTATTGAGCTCCTACTATGTGCCAGGTCAGGCACCTTGCACATATTTTTATATTTCATTATAACCACTTTATGTCAGAGCTGTCCAATGTTACATACTTGGCAGAAAGATAGATCTGGTATTACAATTCAGTTCTGTCTAACAACAAGACCTTCTTTCTTAACCACTATACCTCATTGGAAGGATGATGACTGGATCACTGAATCTCTGGAACTAGCCAACCCTCCAGGGATTACAGGGATTATTTGAATTTATATGGTTAGCCTGAGAATGATCCTTTAGCATCTTTCCAAAGAAGGACAATGCTGTCTGGTCAGGAGGAGGGCCAGTTAGCCAGCTCTGTCAGTTACTATCATGGCTAGAGAAATCCCTGGGGCATGGAACTAACATACAATATGTTACAAATATCACCAACCATATCCAGGATCAACTCTTAGGGAAATAAATGCCTAGAAAGTTTGTAAAGTACACCTGGTCTTTGGTATCACAGGAGCATTTTGGCAAGAAATACTTACTTAATTTGATGTTCACTTCCTTGCATATGGGACCGGAACATTTCTAAAGATGTAAAGGTGATATTACAAATATGACAAACATAGGTTTTCATACTAAATACTGAAAAAACAGAGAGTTCAAGTTAAGGAGGTCAATAGGAATACATTTCAAATCACATAGCTGGACAGGAATTTACTAGAGATCATCTACTTGAGCCTTCCCAATTTAAAGCTAAGGCCCAGAGAGGTCAAATGACTTGGTCAAAGTCACACAGCGTTAGTAACAGAGATAGCCTCTCAGAGCCCATGTCTCTTAATTTAAAGTCCAAAATTTTTCACACTACACCACACTGCCTCTCTAGCCTTGGCCTCTTTCCTAAGAAACTGCTATCTGCCTGTTTATTGTTGCTACATGAAAGTACAACAGACACTTCAAATCTACCATGCCCAATCAATCTTTGCATCTTAATCCCTCAACCAACCTCTTTTTTGTTTGCCCCTAATTCTCTTTCTACTCAAATAAAACTTGAAACATCCCAAAATATTAAAAACAAATAAAATTCTTACTCTCTTACCTGAAATCACTATAGTGCATTAATTTACCAAAAGTTATTTCTACAGACAGATTTTAGAAAAGAGAGAGGTTCAGTGAGCCCCACTCTCAGGATAAATTATGAAAGCCAAATTCTAAAACAAAACTGCTAGTTACCACTTCATAAGAGTCAAGAACTATAGAATAGATATACTAGCTACCTCTCTATGCTGATTCATAGGTAGAACAGGAAGCAGGTGACAGATTAAGTTTTATTTTCTTAATCTTATCATCCTTCCACTTTCTCTTTGGTCTGAAGAAGCAAATTAATAAATTTCATGAGCTCAATATAAAAACAATCCCACCCTAAGGAAGAGGCAATAAACTGATGGCTGCAGAGATTTTTAGGGTCAGGCAAGACCATTTTCTTTTAAAGCAAACATCAACTTAATCATTTAAAGGCCACTAAATTAATTATTACTAAGTGTATTGGCCTTGTCTAAGAAAAGATTATTCACAGAAACAGGAGATTATTGTCAAGTAGAAAGAAAGAATTTGACTTTAAAGAACATGAGGACTACGTTCACTATTGACATATACTCTGGTGGGCCCAAGAGCTCAGCCAGTTATGTCAAAGTCTAAATAAATAATTCTTCAAAACTATCCTCTCTTCCTGTGCTCTGATTTTGTGCTTGCCAAGTCACTTCTGATTACAATTTGGTTTCCCATATTACTGATACAAAAAAGAGGATACCCCAGATGATAGATATTTTTTTAAAACCTCAGAACTGGAAATATATATTCCTCCTCCTACCATAAATCAATACCAGAATGACAGTGTATTAAACTACAATGTTTCTCAGCCTTCTCTGATAAGAATCACCTGGAGGTCTCAAGAGGAAGGCCTCTCACTAGCAGCCGTGAGGCTGTTCTTGAGGAAGGCTGATTCCAGCAGAGTCATGGCTGCAGCTAGAAGGATTCCTGGACCAAGCCACCGTGGTGTAGTAGCATTCTTTGAAAAACAACGACGGAGCCAGTGACTGTGTGGATAAAAGGCTCTTGGTGCTGCAGACAGGAGTCAGTGCTGTGCCTCTGAGGTGGGAGAGCCAACTTCAGGACACTGGTCAACAAGAGACCTCCCAGCTCCACATAATATCAAATGGTGAAAATCTCCCAGAGGTCTCCATCTCAACAGCAGCACCCAGCTTCACTCAACGACCAGCAAGCTACAGTGCTGGACACCCTATGCCAAACAACTAGCAAGACAGGAACACAACCCCACCCATTAGCAGAGAGGCTGCCTAAAATCATAATAAGTCCACAGACACCCCAAAACACACCACCAGACGTGGACCTTCCCACCAGAAAGACAAGATCCAGCCTCATCCACCAGAACACAGGCACTAGTCCCCTCCACCAGGAAGCCTACACAACCCACTGAACCAACCTTAGCCACTGGAGACAGACATCAAAAACAACGGGAGCTACGAACTTGCAGCCTGCAAAAAGGTGAACCCAATCACAGTAAGATAAGCAAAATGAGAAGACAGAAAAACACACAGCAGATGAAGGAGCAAGATAAAAACCCACCAGACCTAACAAATGAAGAGGAAATAGGCAGTCTACCTGAAAAAGAGTTCAGAATAATGATAGTAAAGATGATCCAAAATCTTGGAAATAGAATGGAGAAAATATAGGAAACATTTAACAAGGACCTAAAAAAACTAAACAGCAAACAAACAGTGATGAACAACACAATAAATGAAATTAAAAATTCTCTAGAAGGGATCAATAGCAGAATAACTGAGGCAGAAGAACGGATAAGTGACCTGGAAGATAAAATAGTATAAATGACTACTGCAGAGCAGAATAAAGAAAAAAGAATGAAAAGAATAGAGGACAGTCTCAGAGACCTCTGGGACAACATTAAATGCACCAAAATTCGAATTATAGGGGTTCCAGAAGAAGAAGAGAAAAAGAAAGGGACTGAGAAAATATTTGAAGACATTATAGTTGAAAACTTCCCTAATATGGGAAAGGAAATAGTTAATCAAGTCCAGGAAGCACTGAGAGTCCCATACAGGAAAAATCCAAGGAGAAATATGCCAAGACACATATTAATCAAACTGTCAAAAATTAAATACAAAGAAAGCATATTAAAAGCAGCAAGGGAAAAACAAAGAACACACAAGGGAATCCCCATAAGGTTAACAGCTGAAATTTCAGCAGAAACTCTGCAAGCCAGAAGGGACTGGCAGGACATATTTAAACTGATGAAGGAGAAAAACCTGCAACCAAGATTACTCTACCCAGCAAGGATCTCATTCAGATTTGATGGAGAAATTAAAACCTTTACAGACAAGCAAAAGCTGAGAGAGTTCAGCACCACCAAACCAGCTTTACAACAAATGCTAAAGGAACTTCTCTAGGCAAGAAACACAAGAGATGGAAAAGACCTACAGTAACGAACCCAAAACAATTTAGAAAATGGGAATAGGAACATACATATCAATAATTACGTTAAATGTAAATGGACAAAATGCTCCCACCAAAAGACACAGATTGGCTGAATGGATACAAAAACAAGACTCATATATATGCTATCTACAAGAGACCCACTTCACACCTAGAGACACATACAGACTGAAAGTAAGGGGATGGAAAAAGATATTCCATGCAAATGGAAACCAAAAGAAAGCTGGAGTAGCAATTCTCATATCAGACAAAATAGACTTTAAAATAAAGACTATTAGAAGAGACAAAGAAGGACACTACATAATGATCAAGGGATCGAAACAAAAAGAAGATATAACAATTGTAAATATTTATGCACCCAACAGAGGAGCACCTCGATACATAAGGCAAATACTAACAGCCATAAAAGGGGAAATCGACTGTAACACATTCATAGTAGGGGACTTTAACACCCAACTTTCACCAATGGAGAGACCATCCAAAATGAAAATAAATAAGGAAACACAAGCTTTAAATGATACATTAAATAAGATGGACTTAATTGATATTTATAGGACATTCCATCCAAAAACAATAGAATACACATTTTTCTCAAGTGCTGATGGAACATTCTCCAGAATAGATCATATCTTGGGTCACAAATCAAGCCTTGGTAAATTTAAGAAAACTGAAATCGCATCAAGTATCTTTTCTGACCACAACGCTATGAGACTAGATATCATTTACAGGAAAAGATCTGTAAAAAATACAAACATATGGAGGCTAAACAATACACTACTTAATAATGAAGTGATCACTGAAGAAATCAAAGAGGAAATAAAAAAATACTTAGAAACAAATGACAATGGAGACACGATGACCCAAAACCTATGGGATGCAGCAAAAGCAGTTCTAAGAGGGAAGATTATAGCAATACACGCACACCTTAAGAAACAGGAAACATCTTGAATAAACAACATAACCTTGAACCTAAAGCAATTAGAGAAAGAAGAACAAAAAAACCCCAAAGATAGCAGAAGGAAAGAAATCATAAAGATCACAGCAGAAATAAATGAAAAAGAAATCAAGGAAATGATAGCAAAGATCAATAAAAATAAAAGCTGGTTCTTTGAGAAGATAAACAAAATAGATAAACCATTAGCCAGACTCATCAAGAAAAAAAGGGAGAAGACTCAAATCAATAGAATTAGAAATGAAAAAGGAGAAGTAACAACTGACACTGCAGAAATACAAAGGATCATGAGAGATGACTAAAAGCAACAAACACTATGCCAATAAAATGGACAACCTGGAAGAATTGGACAAATTCAAAGAAATGCACAACCTGCCAAGACTGAATCAGGAAGAAATAGGAAATATGAACAGACCAATCACAAGGACTGAAATTGAAACTGTGATTAAAAATCTTCCAACAAACAAAAGCCCAGGACCAGATGGCTTCACAGGCGAATTCTATCAAACATTTAAGGAAGAGCTAACACCTATCCTTCTCAAACTCTTCCAAAATATAGCAGAGGGAGGAACACTCCCAAACTCATTCTACAAGGCCACCATCACCTTGATACCGAAACCAGACAAGGATGTCACAAAGAAAGAAAACTACAGGCCAATATCACTGATGAACATAGATGCAAAAATCCTCAACAAAATACTAGCAAACAGAATCGAACAGCACATTAAAAGGATCATACACCATGATCAAGTGGGGTTTATTCCAGGAATGCAAGGATTCCTCAATATATGCAAATCAATCAATGTGATAAACCATATTAACAAATTGAAGGAGAAAAAACATATGATCATCTCAATAGATGCAGAGAAAGCTTTTGACAAAATTCAACACCCATTTATGATAAAAACCCTCCAGAAAGTAGGCATAGAGGGAACTTTCCTCAACATAATAAAGGCCATATATGACAAACCCACAGCCAACATCATCCTCAATGGTAAAAAACTGAAACCTTTTCCACTAAAATCAGGAACAAGACAAGGTTGCCCACTCTCACCACTCTTATTCAACATAGCTTTGGAAGTTTTAGCCACAGCAATCAGAGAAGAAAAGGAAATAAAAGGAATCCAAATCGGAAAAGAAGAATTAAAGCTGTCACTGTTTGCAGATGACATGATCCT